AGGGGGGCACTGTTGTTGTTACTCTTTTGGGACTCCTCTCTCCCTCTCTCATCCCTCAATGGTAGAAGAGAAACGTCAACTAAGGGTGTGGGAAGAGGGGGCGGGGTAATATTTTGGTGTGAACCAGACTTGTGCTTCATATTCATCCTAGCCCCTACTTCCTATTTATCTGAGGAATGGTCATATGGGTTTGGGAAGGGGGAGAATCATCCCAGCTGAGAATGTGGCTCAGTGGTAGAGTGGTCACCTAGAATGTCTGAAGCCCTTGGTTCTATTCCACACAGAAAAAGCTGGAAAGGGAGGTGGGGCTCAACTGGTAGAGTGCCAGTCTTGATCAAAAATTGCTGAGGGACAGTGGCCAGACCCTGAGTTCAAGCCCCAGGATTGGAAGAACAAATCTTTGTTGGAGGCTTTCTTTTTGCTTTGAAAACAATTTATTCTTTGTGATAAGCATAACATGGGCCTCTTTCCTGGCCACCAATGGGCCATTAGATATTCCTTGAGTTTGGGCCAACTCCCTGAAGCCTCTGTCCTCTCTAATCCCCAGTTTAACCTTCCCATCCCCCAGCAGATGGAGGCATGAGAGAAAGCCACCTGGCCACCTACTTCTGATGGCTGCCAAGGCTTATGAGAGTCAGTATGTCACATAGAGATTCATCATCCACATCAGTTTACAGGAGAAAGTGGGGGAGCACTCCTCCCCTGAGCCTGGGAGCTGTGGGTGGATTTGGATGTGGGGCATCTGGGACAGGACGTGCTCCTTGGGGGAGTCCACTATGGGGTCGGGAACCCTGACCTCTCCTCTGGCAGTTTCCATGCTGTCTTCAAGTTGCAATTCTTCAAAACCTTTCTGCTCCTCCCTCATTTCACCCACCACAGGCCCTGAGGAGTGGGAAGCAGAGTTGGGGGGAGAGGGCTCAGCCTGTGCTGGCATCTGAAGACTGCTGTATGTGCCTTCCCTTGTGAGGAGCAACAGCAGCTCCCGCAGCACTCTCCTCCTTTCCATCTTCTCCTCAGACAGCCAGTGTATGCACTTGGCTTTCTCCCAACACAGCTCATTCAAGACCAATACCTGCTCTTTACACACAATGAAGGACTCCTCGATGGTTTGGATGTGTGCCAACAGCTGGCTGCATCAATGGTGGAGCTCACCTGTAGGACTCTGGTGTACACCTCATCAGGCAGGTCATGGACAAAGCAGATTTTCTTCTCCGATGCCCATGTGTCCTGTTTCCCATCCCCACGCATGCTGTGGTGGCAGCTCATAGGGCAGAGGGCCTGTGGCTCCAGCTCAGTCTGTCACTGAGCTGCCGGGTGGCCTGGGTGCCTGCAGCGGGCCCACGCTCCTGTGGCAGGATTTTCCCCCTGTGGATCTCAGCCTCCGAGTATGCTAACAGAGTCTAGTCCATCTCCCAGGCAGCATGGAATGTGTTCTTGTATCCCTTTGGTCAGAAAGAACCATGAAATAATGGTGTGGCTGAAATCGTGTGATGCAGGCAGAATGGGCAGAGTCAAGATGACAGTGGCTCTCCCAGCCCCTTTCCCAGGGAACTCTGTCCAATTTAGTTGGGGACTAGAGGGTGACATGCTTTAGCTGGATAGCTGCACAGATTGTTGTTTATGTCTGTTTGTTGCCAGTCCCAGACCTTGAACTCAGAATCTGGGCACAGTCCATGAGCTGCTTTTGCTCAAAGCTAGCCCTCTACCACTGGAGCCATAAGGCTCTACTTCTGGCTTTGTTGGCACTGAAGTTGGTCAGGGGTTTCAAAGACTTTCCTGCTTAGGGTGACTTTGACCATGATCCTCCTATCACAGCCTTGTAAGTATCAAGGAGGACTGGTGAGAGCCACTGGTGCCTGTCTAATCAAGTGGTGGGAGCTGGAGCCCACAGTTTGAATAGTTTGAATCTTGGTTCTGCCACCTCCAAATGGCAGGCGGGAGATCCTAAGAAACTCATTCCTATCCATATGAATACCAATGGAATGTGATGTATGCTATGATTGAATGGGCAGTTCTTGAATGATTCTAGGATAAAATTATACACAATTATTTTATAGGACACTGATCGATTTTAATAAATACTTTATGAAGATTTAAACAATCACATTCATTAAATTGGGGCATAATGAAATACCTAAGAATTGGGCATCACATAGTATAGAAATGTCATTTTTTCTGCCCGGACTTTCTTTACTTAATTGCTATATAGTATTTTCTGAATGTACTTTGGAATATAAAACTAGGATATATTATAGCTGACCTGGAAATGAATTATTCAAACAATTTTTATCAAAAATGCTTATAGCAAAATAAAGAGTCAAATCCAAATTATGTATATTTGAAGACAAAGCTTGGTTAATCCTCCTCTCCCATTCACCCCTTCTTGAGAATAACACAGATTGTAAGGAAATGCTTAGAATGTTTTGGAGAAATAGGTTGACTTTAAACCAGTGAGTTACTCTACGCTGCATTTTGTTTATTTTATATCTAGAAAAGCTAGACCCTCACCATATCATTTTCCTTAGGCTTTATACTCAGGTTTAATCTTCGATGGGTGAGAAATAAAGATATAAACATTTTTTAACAGTGGTTAAATTTAAGCTGAGGAATCTAGGTACAGTTATACTCATACAGATAAGCCTCATCAGTCATGAGACCATGATATCCAAATGTTAACCAATGCTTACAGGTGTCATGCTTATGAGATTTTGTGTATTATAAATAATAGTTGTTTTGTAAACAACATCATTTCATGGGTTAGGAACTGAAGTGAGACATTATACTCAGAACTAAATTGAAGGAGGAATCCAAAATTTGTTCCCAAGATATACATCATTAACACAATGTTTTAAAAATGCAAGCTAAAGGAAATAATTTATGAAAAAAATCAGCATTTACAATAAATACAGAATCAGTATGACTGATACTTCTTTTATCCCAGTTGCAATACGGCTTGCATGATGACTTTTCTAGTTATATGTTTAGTTAGGTCTTGATATTTAGCTGAAGTTCTGTTCTTTCATATATTCATTTATCAGATCAAAGAGGAAATTAATTCCATGCCAGAGTCAACATCCATACTAACGATATAGTTGTATCCTGCTACTTTGCCAAAATTACAAATCAGCTTGAGTATCCTGAGTCTTTTTTGGATCTAACTAAATGGGTATGTAATTTTGTCAGTACTAAAAAGATTTTGATCATCACTTATTAAAATAGTATTTTCTAGAAACGACTTCTATCTTTTCATGAAATTTTTAGTGTCATTTATATCATGGGTTGATGTTTTCCTTTAGATAACCTACATTCAGTCTTCTACAATTTGGAGTAGTTTAAAATTATGTATACTCAGGTACCCTGCTCAGATTCTATTATTTGTATATTTTGTTCTTGTTAAATCAGTAGGATTTAGGTCTCAATATGGATACTATTGGACTTATTCATTGCATTTCTTAATTTTTTAAGTATGTCATGTTTTTTGTTATTTAATTCTTTTAATATGTGCAGCTCCCACTCCACATACAGTCACATTTGTTTTAAACAACTTGATCCATTCATGTGATTTGCTATATTACCTTCATCTAGATGAATTTAATTACAAATTAACACAACCATATTTTTTTTTATTTTAATTTTAATAATTTTTTATTGTGAAAATACTGTACAGAGGGGTTACAATTACCTGGGCAAGATAGTGAGTACATTTCTTATCAAGCATTGTAGCCTCCTCCTTTGTTTACTCTTCCCATCACTTCCCATTCTCCCGCCCCTCCACTCAATCCTCCCCCCCCCCAACAAGTTGTAAAGTTCGTTTTCGACATGACAACTTGTACTTCTCATAACACAACCATATTTCTGAGACACAGTTAGTTTTATGGATCTACTCAAGGGTAACATGTATTTGAGGTTTTTGTGCTTAAAAACAACCAAGCACAACAAGTTTTTGTTCCTGGGGGAGTTCTACTTTGTTGGTTGTTTTTCCAGCTGTGGTGACTTCAACATATGTGTGCATTTTATTTCAGTTGTTTTGTGTCTATATTTTGTTTCATATAACAGAAAGTACATAAATAATCAGTGATTTAGAACTTTTCCAAATAGATTTCTAAGAGAGATACTTGAAGTTTTGTGACATCTGGGACCAGGTAGGTCTTCTTAATGGAGGGGGTAGCAGAATAACAGACACATTCTTTGACATGATTTGAATTCTTCCTCCTCTTTTCTCACTATTTCCAATAGTATTACTTCAAAGCCTTTAGTGGAAAGAAAATAATTTTGTCTGTATGAACTCATAAATTTGCTTTAATTAGGACACAGTACACATTTACATTTGATTTTAACTCTAAAATCTTCTTTCCTTCTTTTAAAGTCACAGATGTGAATTTGTAATGCTAAAATACCATCTAATAATTTATATGAAATGGTCCAAATTATTTTCGCTTCACACTATATATAATATAGAGTGTAATAACAGTGAGCAATGTAGTATGTAATAATTTACTTTGGGGAAAGCTAATTAGAGTGGATTTTGTGAAATACTGAGTAATAGTAAAAATTATGTTTGATTCTATTAAAAAGTTCACAGTTACATCTAAAAATAACTCATAATTATGAACTAATGCTAAAAAGTAAGATTGCTTATTGGAAAAAGCCAGAAGTTTCAATAAGCTTGCTTTTTAGAAATTGACTTGGATCTGGGCTTCGATGGCTCATGCCTACAACCCTAGCTACTCAGGAGTCTCTTAATGAGGATAGTGGTTCAAAGCCAGCCTGGGCAGAAAAGTCTGTGAGACTCTTATCTCCAATAACCCACTTGAAAAGTAGAAACAGCACTGTGGCTCAAGTGGTACAGTGGTATCAATGAGCTGAAGAGCTGAGAGACAGCGCCCATTCCCAAAGTTCAAGCCGCATGACCACAAAAAAAAACAAAAAATTGACATGGGTTTTTACTTTAAATTTCATGATTTTTTATTGTGAAAATACGTACAGAGGGGTTACAATTACATGAGCAAGGTAATGATTACATTTCTTATCAAGCATTGTTGCCCCCTCCTTTGTTTCCCCTTACCATCCCTTCCCAACTCCCCACCGCCAAACCAACCCAAAGCTGTAAAGTTCGTTTTCCGACATAACGTGTTGTACATCTGATTGTTGCAATGAGTCCACCTGTATCCCTATTTAAAGAATTTGTTTTACCCTTCTCCTCCACAAATTATACCAACATCAAATACAGTGAAAACAGGGGTTATACCATGGGGGAGGGACATACAAAGCAACAAAGAAATCATCTTAGAAATATGCTAGAAACAATAGCAATTTGAGTTCTTATCTTGGGGTTCATTTCACCAAATATCAACTTATCTGACCGTTTCTGCTTGTCTCACAAATACACTAGTTATTGCAAATAAGGGAAACCATGGGATCTCTGTTTCTTTGAACCTCGCTTACTTCACTTAATATAATTTTTTCCAAGTCTTTCCATTTCCTAACTCATGGGGCAATGTCATTCTTTCTGATGGAGGCAGAGAATTCCATTGTGTATATACAACATATTTTCTTGATCCATTCATCTACTGAGGGGCATCTGGGTTGCTTCCATATCTTAGCTATGGTAAATAATGCTGCAATAAACATAGTTGTGCTGGTAGCTTTCGTATGGTTATGTTTGTGATCATTTTGGTAAATGCCCAAAAGTGGGATTGCTGGGAAATAGGGGAGCTCTATGTGGATTCTTTTGAGGAACCTCCATACTACTTTCCAAAGTGGTTGAACAAGTTTACACCCCCACCGATAATACAATAAGGTTTCCTTCTGTGCACATTCCCTCCAGCTTCTGTTGTTATTAGAGTTCTTGATTATAGCCATTCTAACTGGTGTGAGGTGGTATCTCAATGCTGTTTAGATTTGCATTTCTTTTATGATTAGGGAAGTTGAGCATGTCTTCATGTGTCTATTAGCCATGCTTCTTTCCTCTTCAGAGAAGTTTCTCTTTAAGTCTTTAGCCCACTTATTTATTGGGCAGTTGTTTGAGGATTTGTTGTTGGATTTACATTTGTGAGTTCCAGGTATATTTTAGATATGAAACCCTTGTTTGTTGTATGGCTAATGAAGGTCTTCTCCCAATCCATGGGTTTTCTATTGATCTTGCTAGCTTTATCCTTTGCCATGCAGAAGCTCTACAATTATATGTAATCCCATTTGTGCAACCTTTCTTTGATTTGTTGTGTTTCTGGGTATCTATTAAGAAAATTTTGGCCTTTGCCAAGGAGACCTAGGGTGTATACTGTAACTCTAGGTCTTTGATCCATTTGGAGTTGATTCTGGTGCAGGGTGATATATAAGAATATAGCTTTAGTTTTCTACAAGTGATTAACCAATTTTGTTTGACAGCCACTTACTGAAGAAGCTGTCTTTCTTCCATTCTATTTTTTTTAGCTCTCTTATCGAAGATTAGATGGCTATATATCTGTGAGTTAATATCTAGGATTTCAGTTCTATTGCATTGGTCCTGAGATCTGTTCTGGTGCCAGTATGAAGCTGTTTTGATTATTACGGCTTTGTAGTAGAGTTTGAAATTTTGTATTGATATTCCTCCGGCATTGTTCTTTCTGAGGATCATTTTTTATTCGGGGTCTTTTATTGTTCCATATGAATTTTTGGATTGCCTCTTCTATTTTTTTGAAGAATGAGGTTGGAATATTCATAGGTATCACATTGAATTTGTACATAGCTTTGGGAAATATTGCCATTTTCATGATGTTGATCCTTCTAATCCAGGAGCATGGGAGGATTTTCCCAATTTCTAAGTTTTGTTTTCATTTCCTTTTTCAGGTTTTTAAAGTTTTCATCATAGATTTTTCACTTCTTTGGTTAATCTAATTCCTATGTATTTCATTTTTTGTGGGGCTATTACGAATGGAGTTGCTTTCCTTATGTCAGCCACGCTTTTCTCATTGTTGGCATACAGTAAAGCCATTGATTTTGAGTGTTAATTTTATACCATGCTACTTTGCCAAAATTTTGAGTCAGCATGAGTAATTTGGGAGTGAATTCTGTGGGATTCTTTAAATATAAGATCATGTCATCTGAAAAGAGCGAAAGTTTTATTTCATCTTTCCCTATTTGGATCCTTTAATGTTTGCATCTTGTCTTATTGCTGTAGCGAAGCATTCTAATACTAAATTGAAGAGAAGTAGAGAGATTGGACATCCTTGTCTAGTTCCTAAGAGGAAATGGCTTTAGTTTTTTTTACCATTAGGTATAATGCTGGCTGAAGGTTTGTCATATACAGTCTTTATTGTATTGAGGAATGTTCCCTGGATTCCTAATTTTCCCAGAGCCTTCATAAAATGGTTTTGGAACTTGTCAGACGCTTTTTTCTACATCTATTGAGATAACCATGTGGTTCTTATCTTTGCTCCTGTTGATGTGATGAATTATATTAATTGATTTGCGTATATTGAACCAGCTTTCCATCCCTGAAATGAATACTGTTTGATCGTGGTGTATGATTTTTGGATGAATTGTTGAAGTCGATTGGCCAAAATTTTGTTGAGAAGTTTTGCATCAATGTTCATCAAAGAAGTGGATCTCTAGTTCTCTTTCTTTGATGAGTCCCTGCCTGGTTTTGGGATGAGGGTTATGATGTCTTCATAGAATGAGTCCCATTGTGCACTTTCTCTTTCAATTTCATTGAAGAGTTGGAGGAGTATTGGTGTGAACTCTGCTTTGAAGGCCTTGTAGAATTCCGCTGTAAATCCATTGGTCCTTAGATGAGAGGTCTCTTATTGCTGCTTCTATCTCAATGCTTGATATGGGCCTGTTAATTTGATTTAACTCATCTTGGTTTAGTTTTGGCATGTCAATATTTGCTAGGAAAAAGTCCATTTCTACCAGGTTCTCAACTTATTAGCATAAAAGTTTGAGAAGTATTCCCTTATAATGTTCTGGATTTTGGTTGTTTCTGTGGTGATGTTTCCATTCACATCTCTGAGTTTGTTTATTTCTGTGTGTGCTCTTCTTTTTCTGATAAGATTTGCTAAGCGTCTGTCAATTTTTGTTAATTTTTTCAAAGAACCAACTCTGTTTTGTTGATTCTTTCTATTTTTTTTTTTTTTGGATTCTAATTCGTTTAATTCTGATTTAATTATTTCTTTCAATCTACTGGACAGGAGTTTATTTGGTTGCTCTTTTTCACTGAGGTAAATGTCTCTTTAAATTGTTGGTTTCTCTAATTTGTTGATGTAGGAACTCAGAGGTATAAAATTGCCTCTGAGTACTGCATTTCCTGTGTCCAAGAGGAGCTGGTAATTTATGATTTCATTTTTGTGGAATATCATGAACATTTGCATTTCCTTTCTAATCTCTTCCATGACCCACTGGTGATTCAACAGTGTGTTGTTCAGCCTCCATGTGTTAGAGGACTTTCTTTGGTGGCTTTTGGTGTTAAATTCTAATTTTATTCACTTGGAGCCTGTTTCTTGGCCGTTATTGTCATCTTGTTGGTTTTCTATGTGTAGGACATCTTCAAGTATCTTTTGTAAGTCTGGTTTGGTGGTTCTAAAAGCTTCTTGTATCTGAATAGGCCTATCTTTTTGCATGTTTGGGAAGTTCTCTGCTACAATTCTGTGAAATAAATTTTAACCATTAACTTCTGTCTCTAGGTGCTCCTCTACACCCATTATCCTCAGATTAGGCCTCTGATGGTGCTTTCCAAATGTTGAATAGATCTATCATATTTCTTGGATTTGTCTTGGATAGTTATACATTCTTTCTCTATAATATCTAGGCTGTCTTCAATGCCCAAGATTCGATCTTCTGCATGGTCTAACCAACTGTCAAGAATTTCTACTTTGTTTTTATTTCTTTTCCTTCTAATTGTTTGGCTTTGATGGCTTCAAATTCTTTGTTGGAGCTTTGTTTTGGGTCTTGTATAAACTTTACTTCCTTAATTTGGTGGTCAGTGTTTGTTCTCAAATCACTTAGTTGATTCGTTATGGTTTCCTTGGGCTCCCATTACTTTTCTTTGGCTCCATTGAGCATTCCTTTTGTGGTCTCCCTGAATTCATTCAGCTGTCTGTTCATGGATGCCTTTACTGATCTTGCTCTATTCTCATCCCTCTTTCACAATTCCTGTATTACTCTTTGAACAGCTTCCTCACAATCATGCAATTCCTGTCTTTCTCTTTGACTGATCTCAGCCTTCTCATGCGATTTCTGTATTTCTCTTTGACTGTTCTCAACCTGCTCATACAATTCCTGTATTAATCTTTGAGTAGCTTCCTCATGCTCACAAGATTCCTATATTAATCTTTGGTTTGCCCCCTCTCGCTCTCTATCACACTCACACTGAGTGCTTTACAAGTTTTCAATGTATTCATTCAACATGTTTACCAGTAGTGCTTGTAGAGCTTTTTGGGAGCTCTCTCCTGGATTATTCATTAAGTATTCTGTCACCTGATTATCATGAGTGGGAATTCATATACCAGGACTTGCCATTTTTCTTGTGTTTTCTGGCTTGTTCTGCCCATTTGGTATGAAAGTAAAACCAATTTTGTGCTAGGCCGCTATTTTAAGGCAAGCATCAACCAGAGTCCTGTAGTTGCACAGTCAAAATGGCTGCAGATACAATCTAGTTCATCAGATATAATCTATTCATCATCAAACAACCATGGACTAATGGGGTAGTAAAAGCAAAAAGGTGTGTCAAAAAATTGACACACTAGAAATGATTAGGTTTAGGGAGAATTGTGGAGAAAATTAGGATTAGAGGAATGTGGAAAGGTTAAAGAAGAGTGAATTTAAACAAGTCCTAATCTCTGAGAGGGAAATTGATTGGACCGAATGATAGGAGAGAGATCTTTTAAAAATAAAGAAAAAATGGATAAACAAAAATTTAAATCTAAGAAGTGAAACACAAAATTATGTAAGTTTAAAGAAATGATATTGAGGGAAGAAAAGGATAGGATGAGATGAGAGGAGGGATAGAAAGGAAATATGAAAAAATAAAAAATAAAAGAAAATTAAAATTAGTTAATTGAAAATTATATTGGTATAAAGAGATAATACTGCTATTATAGAAATTAAGCCTAAGATGTTTTGACTCGAGTAATAAATTTCAGGATTAATTATGTACACAATGGGGGATAAGGTTTAATAATTGACCACAGGTATGTATCTGGGGATGAGCTGAACAGCAATTAAGTCAAACAAAAAAGAGAGAAAAAAAATGAAAACAATAAAAAAGGACCAAAATGTCAAAGGAGATTAAACACACACACACACACACACACACACACACACACACACACACACACACACACACACACACATCAGAAATAAAAATTATGAGAAAAAAATTAACATCAAACATTTTTTTAAAAAATAAAAATTGAAAAAAAGGTTAAAAAAAGAGTTCTTTGATTTTTGTGTTTTTTTTTGGGGTGTGGGGTATGGGAAGACCCTGTATCTCCCCTGCGTCCATAACCAGTCTCTTGGTGGAGTCTCTGGTGTGCTTGTGGTGTTTGGTTTTCCTTTTGCTTGACTGGTTTCTTAAGTCAATTATTTTCGTGCTGGCAGAAAAATGCTCTGCTTTACCCAGGATTTTGTGATCCTCTTCCCAGGCTATTCCGTGGAAGGGAGATCTGCTTTGAATATCACAAAAGAGGGAGATGGCTGTTTCCTTCAGTGTGGAAATGCCGTGATGAGGTAGGGTTGAGGCTTTTCAGCAAATAGTAGCTTTTCCCTGTGGGGAAATTCCTGAAACACTCATGGAAAACATTCTCAGGGTTTTTGTTTTTGTTTTTACTGAGTTTCAATTGTTTGTCTAGGCTGCTGTAGGAAGAAGCAGCCTCTGTCTCTGTTTACCCTGTGAAGGAAATCACTCCTCTGAGGACACTGGTTCTACTGGCTGGGTGGGGTGACATTCCCCTCGGTGGAGCTGAGCCTGGCAGGTCATGTCTACTTCCTGTGACCTACTAAATGACTCTCTTGTTTTCTTCCAAGGCCTGAGTTGGAGCTATCTGCTCAGCCCTGTGGAGGTCAGTATCTTGGAGATCTCTGGTAGTGGAGGATGGGTGGCCTTCCCTCCTCTGCACCCTGAGAAGGAGTGAGGATGTCAGGATTCTACTCATGCCAGAGTGTTGGTTCCTGCGTCGTCTCTGGTCTGTGATCTGCAGGATGAAGATATCTGCTCCTTGTTAGTTCTTGCTGGTGTTGAGTAGAATCCGCTCACCGGCCTCATCTGGGGCCTTTGTCGTGGACTCTCTCTGTAGGGATGAGGGCTACAGCCACTGGCGCTGTCCCAACTGCCACCTCAGCTGTGGCTCCTGGCAAGTGCTCAGATCTGTCATCTTGCCTGGATTTTCCCTCTTTGGCCAAACTCTCTTTACTGTGATGGCACACTTGGTGTGACTCTCTAACCTAGGACTGTTCACTGGAACATTAAAACTGCTTTCTATGTAAGAGCTTGTTTACCCTCCAGCTTCTCCTCCTCCATCTTCCCCCAAATCCTCATGATTTTTTTTGACCAGAAAAAAATAGCTTTATTTGGACTGAGAATTGGAAAATGAGAGTAGGACCTGAGCTAGCATGTTCAGCTAAGGAGTAGAGATTACATTTCCAGAAAGCTCATCAACCAAATGTACTCTTGCTTTGAATCAAGGCAGCCTTGCAGTTAATGAAATCATTAGGAGGCCTGCTGGGAACATATCTAGCTTTAAATGATCCTAGTATGCTACCTTTATAAAAAAAAAAGTACAGGTTTTTTATCATTATGAAATTTCCACCAACCACACGTATTACAAACGGAAATGGAAGGACAAAAAATACATTTTACAGAATTTAAACTTGTCTTCAGCATTTAGCTCACAGGTTTCGCCATCTTCAAAAAACTCCTCCTCTGTTAAAGTCTTCAGCTCTTGAGATTGGAGGCACAGCTCAATTTTTATTGTGCTAGCCAATGAGTAAAATCATTAGGTACTGAGCTGGAGTCCCAGTCTCGAACCAAAAAGAAAAAGAAAAAGAAAAAGAAAACAAAAGATCGATCAACCAGGAAGGAGATGGTCTTTACTAACCCACAGAAATACTTTATCCATTTCCCTAGCAAGTCAGGGCTGAACAGCAGGGTAAGGCTCAGATGAGGGTGGGGTGGGGATCAGAGGGCTAATTTCCCCCTAGTACAACACCACAGCAGAAGCTTGATGAGAGCAAAACTGGTGAGACTTGAGGGGAGGGTCCAGGCCCTGAGTTCAGTCAGAGTCACTGCTGGAAGAGGAGGAGGAAGAGGAAGAATGCTTGCCATGCTTGTGGTGTTTGTGCATCTCTTTATGTGTTTTCTTCATTTTCTTCAGTGTTTTCTTGTCCATTGGGGCTCGTGGGCCTATGCCAGGAGCCAGGGGATTCACAGGACATATGCCAGGTGCAGGTGGTGGGCATGGGGTGGGTAAGGACCTGAGGGTTGGTATCCTGGATACTGTGGCTGTGGCACAGGGTAAGAGGCCCCACATGGAGGGAAAGCTGGGTTCCCCTGGGGAGGTCCTGGAGGAAAGGGACACCCGGGTACAGGACCAGGAGGAATGGCTGGATTTACAGGTTGTGGGCACAAAGGAGGTGGACACCCAGGATTGGAACCTCCAGGGCACCCCATGTAAGGGATACTTGCATTTTGCACCGGCTGCCATGCATTGGGATGCCACATGTTCAGGTGTTTTCCTAAGCTTTTCTTCCTGCGCCTGGATTATACCGGTCCTCCTGAGCCTTTTCCCCGTCATGATCTTTTATGAGTGGTTTTTTAGTGAAAAATGTTTTGGTGTTTATATTTTGATTTGGCATAAAATGAGCCTACTATTGTCTTAATTTAATAAAAAAAAAACTCTGATTCTCTGACAGCATAAATTTTGTGAGTAATGGTTAAGACTAGGTTGCCTTTCTGAAAAAAATATCACCACCCAAAAAAGAGGAACAAAAGGAAAATAAATATGACAGGAAACATAAATCTTAATGGACTAATAGTCTGTCAGTTTGCTTTAACTTTTAATGAAAAATTAAAGTAATACTTGATAATGTTTTATTAACATATTTAAATTTCTTCATTCTTGTCAATTAAGATTCACTTTATAAAGAAATTCAACAGGTGACAATGTTTTTTCATGACTTTTCCATAGAAATGATCATTTCATCATTATAGTGTATAGCACAATACACCCAGAAAGCTTTTAAGGAAAAAAATTTCCCATTCTTTGGTTTGCTTCAGTCTGTATTTAAAGCTGCATACCACATCTTACCCACCCTATTGTCTGTCTTCTCATTTGAAACATTTCAATAAGTTTTCTTTCCCTGGTTTGTCAGTCAGCAAATCTTTATAAAACAACATGCTTTCATTCATTGTGCTTTCCAAAATATATCTCACAAATGCCAAAACGAAGCACAATCTGAAACATCTGTGGATTTTTCCACCTAGAGTCCAAAGTAATCACTTTCCATACTCCTTAGAACCAGCTGTTCACTGGCATTAATTGTTCTATCACTTCCATGCTTTAAAACAACAGCATTTGACAAAGGCGTACATTTTAATTGGTTTACCACATTTGGTTCGTTTTCAGCAAGGACTGTCTTCACGGAAGATGGTAATAGATGAGGTTTGCAATTATGTATTTTGAAGGGGCTCTAAGTTGTGGATATAGAATATACATTTCAGTGACTAAATATTTAAATTAAATCCTATAATGTATACTCCTTCAATTTTCTGGCTAAAGTGTTCTACAATCTAGATATTTTTTAAGGAAATATTGTACATGTTTCCTTGGTGACAACGTAATTGGAAGACTTAAATTTTTCTTTTTTTCTTTTTATATTGTGAAAATAATGTACAGAGGGGTTATAATTACATGGGCAAGATAATGAGTACATTTCTTATCAAGCATTCTAGCCTCCTCCTTTGTTTCCCCTTCCCATCCCTTCCCATTCTCCCTCCCCTGCCCCTCCATCCAATCCTCCTCCCTGCCCCCACCAAAGTTGTAAAGTTCGTTTTTCCATATAACGACTTGTACATCTCATTGTTGGAATGGATCCACCTGTACCCCAATTTAAACATTTCTTTTTTCCTTTCCCCTTCTCAAATTATACCAACCTCAAATACAGTGAAAGCAGGGGTTATACCATGGGGGAGGGACATACAAAGCAACAAAGAAATAATCTTATAAATGTGTTAGAAACAATCACCTGAAAGAAAAAAAAAACATTTGAATACATATATTAGGGTTCATTTTCCTAACATCAACTTGTCTGACGTTTTCTGCATGACTCAGACATATACTAGTTATTGCAATTAAGGGAAACCATGGGACCTAAGTTTTTTTGGGCCTGGCTAACTTTGCTTAATATAATTTTTTTCCATGGTAGACTTAAAATTTTCATATATCATTGCCGACTTAAATGAAGTGAATGTACCTGGGTTTGCATACAGAACTTTTGAGAGAGCATTAATGTTTGAATCTTGAATGGGATTTGATTGAGAATTGTGGCAGGCTTTCATGATATGAGAAGAGAAAGGCCTTACTAATACTTTAATTTGCTACATTGCTGTATTAGTTTATTCAAACCCACACATACACACAGATATACAAATATGTAGTATGAAGACCCAGTCAGTCTGCAAGAAAATATTTTAATAGGGATTCCATAAAATATTTAGTCTGCTGAGATCTGATTGGAATTTATAGCAATATCTATTCCACCCCTGGACAATTCATTATCATTGGTGAGGATGTTGCCATTTGAATTCAGAATGCCCCAGAAAGACCTATGTGTTAAAGAAAAATGACTTTCCATTTCCTCCCATACTGTGGAGAATACCTGAATAGTTCTTATGGGGATTAAGTTCTTCAGAGTGAAACCTCTGAGAACATGCACACTCATCTGCTTTCTTCTTTTCTCTTTTAATCATTCTAGGTCAAAAACATTTCTTTTTGATATACTCCTCACCTTGACATTGTCTTGTCACAGGCCACCAAAGCAATAAAACCAACTGAACATACACTTACACTGAAACCTTCAAACTTATAAATCTGAGTAAGCCTTTCTGCTTAATAAAAGGACAATATCACTTATTATGATAGGTTATAAAGCTAACACAGAAATCTAGTCTTTCTAACAATGTAGAGTACATAAAAACGCTTCATTATAAAATATCTAACTCAAAGTTATATTTTGTGTTTTTGTTTCTGTAGATCCTAGGGCTTAAACTCACAGCCTGACTGGTGCTTTTGTGTTCAAGGCCAGTGCTCTACATAAAATCTGAACTGGAACTCCATTTCTCCTGGTGGTTAATTGGAAATAAGAATCTCATGAACTTTCCTATACTGGCTGGCCTATTCATGTTGCATACTTTATGTAATTCCATTCTCAGCATCATATAGGTGCTCCAACTACAATATAAAAAAACTTAAACGTACTAAAGATATTTGTAAAGTATAAAATGAGGAAAGAATTTTCATCCTTTACAAATCTATGCAAAATCTATGCTAAACTATTGATATTTTACTGGACCTTTCCTGCAACCAGTTTGATATAGTTTAATAATTGTCACACCAACTTTCTCTCTATATTCTACTGGATATATACATTTTCATGTATGTTTGTATATGTATACATATATGTATCTATCTATATATGTTCGAATGTGCATCATCGGACTTGAAACTGCTTTGTTTTGCTGTTCAGCAATGAACCTTGTCGGCTCATTCTGTGACAATATCAGTGCTCATTCTCATTATTCCTTTATTTACCAAATCATCAGCCTTCTAAAATCAGCTTCATTTCTTTTTTTTTTTTTTTTGGGTCCGGTCGTGGGGCCTGAACTCTGGGCCTGGGCGTGGTCCCTCAGCTCTTCAGCTCAAGGCTAGCGCTCTACCACTTGAGCCACAGTGCCACTTCCGGCTTTTTTCTTATGTGGTGCTGAGGAATCGAATCCAGGGCCTCGAGCATGCAAGGCAAGTGCTCTACCACTGAGCCACCTTCCCAGCCCAAAGATTTTTTTGGGGGGATCCGGTCGTGGGATCTGAACTGTGGGCCTGGGTGCTGTCCCTCAGCTCTTCAGCTCAAGGCTAGCGCTCTACCACTTGAGCCACAGTGCCACTTCCGGTTTTTTTCTTTTGGCTTATGTGGTGCTGAGGAATCAAACCCAAGTCTCATGCATGCAAGGCAAGCACTCTACCACTGAGCCACCTTCCCAGCCCTCAGCTTCATTTCTTGGGTAAGGTTACCAAACAGTCCAACTAATATCCACCCAGAGGGTTTTAATAAAGCAAGTTTTAAGGAAGAATATAACATGAAGTGACAACTACAGAAATTCCAGAGACCTGACATCTTTCACATTTCTGTCTTCCTTCTCTTCTCATACTTCAGAAAGTATTGACTAACACTATAAGTATACTGCAATTATAAGTTAAGGATCATTGTTTTTTGTTTTTTGGTTTTTTTTCCAACCTGAAGCCTTCTTTTCCATGATTCGCCATAAACTTTTGGGAGATTTTTTGGATTGTGATGGGATTCCACCCAAAACAAAGCCATGTATATTAAGAAAGTCAATGTTTTCAACTCAGAGTACTAAACAAAAGAGGGAGAAAATTAAGGTTAGCTTAATTAAGCACAAATATAGGCAATATCAAGATATCTTGAAATTGTATACTTTTACTGGATAAAGTGGCTCAAACCTGTAATATTATCTACTTAGAAAACAGAGATTAGAGAATTGCAGTTCCAGGCAAGCCCAAACCAAAAAAAAAAAAAAAAGAAGAAGAAGAAGTTTCAGAAACTCTGTTAGAGTTTGATGGGTGCTATGTGTTTTGCTTGTGTTAGGAGGACCACAGTCCAAGCAGACCCAGGTATAGTGATACTTACCTCAAAAGAAGCAATCAAGTTACAATCTGCAGGTATGGCAGTAGTAGAGATGCCAAAGTTGTAAAGTTCCTTTCATTGTTGCAATGGGTCTACTTGTATCCCTATTTAAACATTTTCCCCTTCCCCTCCACAAATTATGCCAACATCAAAAATGTGTGCTTATGTAAGAACTGCATGATTCTAAAATTTCATGACAATTCTTTTGAACTTACTTTTTTGTGGAATTGACAAAGAAAATCAATTACACCTTCTATATAAAAAATGTTCTGTGCTTAATCCGGCAGCCCATACACTAACATCGGAATGATACAGAGAGGATTAGCATGGTCCCTGCACATGGATGACTTGCAAATTGGTGAAGCAATACATATTTTTACAACAACAAATGCTGGAGGGGATGGGGCCACAAGGGAACCCTACTGCATTCTTGGTGGGAGTGTAAACTTCTTCAACCACTTTGGAAAGCAGTATGGAGTTTCCTCAAATGACTCCACATAAAGCTCCCCTATGACCCACCAATCCCACTTTTGTTCATTTACCCAAAGGATCACAAATAAGACCATATTAAAACTACCAGCACAACTATGTTTATTGCAACATTATTTACCATAGCTAAGATATGCAACCAATCCAGATGCCCGTCAGTAGATGAATGGATCAAGAAAACGTGGTAAAGGATTTCCGGGAAGATGGCTGAGGAGAAGCTGGAATCTGAACAAGCTCTTGCATAGAAAGCAGGTTGAGAGTTCC